TTGCCCATGTTCATGTGTTCGAATCTAATATTGGATGATTTATTTGAATAATTGACACCAAAAATATTTTCAAAATCGATGTCAACCTGATTCCGATACTTCAGTCGAATATTCTGATGGATTGAATTGATGGATTCTTACACAACTGATTTTGATTCTTAGAACGAAAAATAATTGAATAAAAAAACTCTGAAAAACATCGATGTTTTTCATATCACGTTACAATTTCTCGAATTGTCTATAAATCTATCCATAGTATCCATGCACTGAACATTGTTCATCAAATCATATCAGTGGATAATGTCGAAGGCAAATTCATATGAATCGAAAAAAATATTGAGTTATATTGATAACAGAGAAAATTGTTCTATGGAATTGATCGTCGATAATTCAAGTCATTTTCGAATCAAGATTCGAGACAAAAATCATTGCCATCTACGGTGAGCATGCTGACCAATTGATTGGTCCTCTACGACATAAAAATTGTTCTATGGAATTGATCGTCGATAATTCAAGTCATTTTCGAATCAAGATTCGAGACAAAAATCATTGCCATCTACGGTGAGCATGCTGACCAATTGATTGGTCCTCTACGACATATCCCTCTGTTTGGTGAATTTTGGGGCAGCGATCCTTTCATCTGTAATACGGCATGTGGTTGCTCACTTCCTTGTTGAAAATGAATATTATTCGCCAATAGATCGTTATCATCATCATCAAGGTTCGTGAGGAATTCCCGAAAGTTTTTGGATGAAAAGGTAGGTCATAGAGTACCAATAAAATGGCCAGCACGCTCGCAGGCACATTAGTTATTTTTGTATCTAGAGCGCGAAATGCTACTTTGGTGATCGAGATCTGATTTTTTAAATAGTCGAGATGACCAAAGTATTTCGCGCTCGAGTTGCAAACAAATTTTTTTTACAAACGCCAAAATAGATAGTTCGAAGTAAAAATATGCTTAGCTTGAAATAAAAAATAGTCTTGAACTGGCTTAAAAGGCCTTCCCCTATCCTCCCTAGGTACGCACGATGTTTCACGATCATAATAGGAATTTCCTTTCGTGCGCTCCAAGAGGTAAAACAAAGTTATATTTGATCAGAAATGAATGATTTCGTGGATGTTTGCTCGATTGAAGACCATAAAGTTGAAATATGAATATCTCATATATTTTACATAACAATGCGCGAAGTAGGTACTTCGCGCACTGTTTTACTTCGCGCATTGTTAGGGGCAAGGTATCATGGTAACGTAGAAAACTAAAGAAAGTGTCACTTCGCACTTTGTTTTCAATGCGTGAACCTTGTCATTTTTTGACGTTTGTAGAAAAAATAATTTTTTCATTCGGGTCCATAACTCTCGTGAGACTCGCTACCCAAAGTTTCATATATTTGTAGAGATTTGGAATACTTTATCCATGCTACGGAACCTCCTGACTTGAAGGATTTGGGAAAAAGAATAAAGATTGACTTCTACAAAAAAAACAAGATGAACATCTCCAAATTTGCAAGAGTGATTCGAAACAATACCAAACCATTGTTTAGAGGTCTATGAAGATAATTTGAATAATTCGTGGTGGATATGTATTTGATAATCCATTCCGTACATTCATTTATTGACCAATGAACAAAATACCATTCGAACCTGAATATTTCAAGAACGCCTCATTGGAATTCAAAACACTTCGCACAGCTAGTGTGCTTCCTTTTCAAGAACAAAAACCTGTCAATCACTTCAACGGGAGGATGAATAATCATCTTTCGTGGAAAGTGAAATAAATTGGCTTCAGCTTGCTTTCTTGGAAGAGATATACGTTTCAGATCTGTGCTGCCCAAGTACCCTTTCAGTGACTCCATCACTATTATGGAACAAATAATAACGAATTCCAATTGTGATATTCTGGTGTCTTTGTGCTTTCGAAGTAGAAAAACGAACGAAACCAGAAAATGGTTGAATCGAGAAGGAAATTGAAACAAATTCAGTGTTCATTTGGCGACAATCCACTTGAGTGTTTGATTCCTCGATTTTCTTCAACAAGATCCATAATTGAAGGTGATAATGATTCTCTGAATAGACAACCAACTATACGCGATCATTGACGGCGCTGTTGCCTATGTTCATATGTTCGAAATTATTATTTGATGATTTGTTCAGAAAGTAGACACCATAAATATATCCAAAATTTATGTCATTTCGTTTCCATCACTATAGTCATATATCTTGATGGATTTAATTGATGAAATCATTTCACAAATGATTTCACTTTCATTGTTAATCATCTGGAAATTCCAGTAATGAAAATTCACACCTACATATCTAAAGTGTGGAAAATTGAAACGCTACAACCATAAACTCATTATTTGATGAAGGAAGTTGTCGAAGTGGAGGAAACAACTCCTATGATTTGTTTGAATACTTCCTAATCCATGACCATGTGATATGATCATCAACATATCATTGTATTGCTATAAGTTTGACCCTCGTGAATATTTCGCTCATTATTTGGAGATATTTTCTTATTTTCATCGTTATGAGCTTAATTACGAAAATGAGAAAACTCTGACGAACATTGATCATCAGAATTCTCATTACCAATACCTTGTTGTTTTCAATAAATTCGTGAATTCATATCGCGTGACAATTCTTGAAGAAGTCTATCCATAGTATCAATGCTCTGAATATTACTCATCAAATCATATCGGTAGATGATATTGAAGGGAACTACAATGGTATCGAAAAAAATATTGAATCATATCGATAACAAAAAAAAGTGTCCTATGGAATTAACCCTTAATTACTCGCGCTGGTGTATTTTGTACACCAGCACCAAATTTCTTGCTACCATCGAACGTAGAATTTTTTTTTCCTCCGATTGGCAGCAAATATTAATTTTGCTGACATATATCAATCAGCAAAGTATTACTTTTCTTGCCTAGGCAGCAAAGTGGGTACTTTGCTGCCTAGGCAGCAAAATGGTTACTTTGCTGATTGATATGTGTCAGCAAAATTAATAATCTATAAATCGTTTATAATTTCCTTCATATTTCATCCGAGACTTCTCCGGCAACAAATTCAACTCTATATTTTTTGCCACCTCCCTTATTTTTGGAGGAGTAAGTACTTCCAGGTCGCTATCACTGTCCATTATATAATAATTTAAATATACCGATGTTTTTTCGCACAACTGTCAGAAATTTCATGAATTGTCAAACTATAATTATTATGGACATTTCCATAGCAACCAACCATTCCAACAACTGCGATTTCTATCAAATTTCATTTTGATTGAACACTACAGGAGAAATATAGAGATTGTGAGAATTTTAATTATTTGCAAAGACAATATCCTCCTATATCATTATGAACAATCGGAGAAAAAATTATATGTTCAACTCGGCAGCAAAGTAGATTGAGATTGACTGCCTTAGCTGAAATCCTAGCCTCGCTACGCTCGGCTATGAATTCAGCCTCGGCAGTCAATCTACTACTTTGCTGCCTAGTTAAACAAATAACTATTGTGGCTCTAGACTCCCACCTAACCTATGTCTAACATGTCTGGGATATGATCGATCAGTTTTGTGTGTGTGTTCGTACGTAAATTTTGACGCGTTGTCACGTCGGTGCCCGTTGGTGCCTAGAATACAATACACTGCGTGGGAAATAGGGTGAATTATCTAAGTATTCAATATTGTATACAAATACGTTGGTTGTGTATTATGTGGACGCACTAAAAACAGAGTGACTTTTTTTTCATTTCCATTTCTTCTTTGGTCCCAGCACTGGATCCAACGCCCCATAACCCTAATAACACAATAACATCTGTAAGACGTCGTAGAAACATCCATATGGGATGATAGGAACATCTCTGGAAAATCCCTATTCTCCTTGGGACATCCTTGGGATGTTTCTGGCAACACCTTTATCAGCATTCGCGATGTCTTATGAACATCCCATCAGGATGTTTGTGGGATGATACGGGATGCACCAGAGACATTCAGGGTACTTGATATGGAACATCCTAAAGAAACTTCAAGGATGTTTTTTGTTTGAAGACACTAATGGATGACACGGTATGAATTATTTTCGATCTGAAATCCTGAAAATGGACGACCTATTTCCAGATATAAAGTAACAATCCGAATCCGAAAATATAAGGTCGGTGCGGTCCAATAACTATTGGAAGATGATAACAGTTGTTTGAGGCTCATATTCGTTGGCGCTGGGCCGACGGCTGTTAGTAACTCTTAGCAATGTAGTTGTACCGCCATCTATCGGCTGGTAAAACAAATAAATTCAGCAATAAATATGCTGGAGAGATATATTTCAATTTTGTCGTTCATTACATGGTTCATGATGTTAAACAGGTACTTTGGTAATCCTATTGAGGAATATTTAGTATAATTATTTCGATTTGTTATCGATGAAATTAGCCGGCTTTGATATGGGTATAAGTATATGAGTACGAATACTTTTTACCATCTCTTCAATGTTTCAAATGTCACAATTGTTTGAACTATTCAATCATGTCAATCATCATTAGCGAATATGGAACCATGATATTGTTTATAAAAAAGATCAGATGTGATGTTTTTAGAACATCCAATGAAAACATCTGATGTATGTCCTAAGAGAAACATCTCTGGGATATCGTACCTAAGTCTGAAACATTGGGACATTTGTAGGACCTCAGCGGGATGTTCCAGCAAGTTCCCGTGTTGTAAGGGAAGTCGGAACTTTCGCGGGGTTAGGAAAGCATTAGTTTCTGTTTCACCTAAAAACAAGTCAAATTCATGTTGGTGTACAAAATACACCGTGCGGGAAAAAGTTCGAATCAATTAGCGCGAGTAATCAAGGGTTACTCATCATTGATTTTTCATGTAAAATTCGAGACTTTCATGAATATTTATAATTTATAATGCAATTCATATATTATCGACCATAATAATGAGTTGCATTCCTGAATGTTTTCTGGAGGATTAATATAAATATATATGTTCACGAACCTATTCCATTGATTGCTTGTATTTCACCAGAATCCACGAATGTATCATTTCTCAGAACCAAATACTCAACCCTTATGTCTTCTTCTATCAAATGTTTTTGGATATTTTGGATCGAGTTGTTCGTTTCTCCTTCGATCTGTGATATTTGCGATTGGTATTCCTCCAAAGTTGATGTCGATGTTACGGGGCCAGTTTCCTGAACTTGAGAAGCGATGTCTAACTCCTGAAAATATAAATCATTAAATAGTGGAAAATCGTCATCATAAATATAGTTGAACCTATATAGTCAACCCATATAAATGTGCTGAAAATGTGCACACTTCGTTTGGTTCATCCTACAAAATCCCATCGTCACACAAAATGACGTGTTTTCTGACTGGTTACGTAAATATATCTTCTTTCATTATCTAGTGTATTTAGACAGTGTCAAATTTGTGAGAAGAAAATGGGTAAATATATCCTAACCAGATATTTCACAGGTACTGAGGTTGGTGTATACGAGGCAGTTTAGTCTGGTGGTGTTGACAGGTCAATAAGACCATTAATGCACATACACGTATCCATAAATGGACCGATTCATTAGATATATATCATATAAACCCTTGAGTAGTAGGGTGAGGTCTGTCAGACCAACGACAATTCGCTTCTAATTCCCCACTCTTGTTACATGTCGGAGCGCGTCGACTATTCGAGAAACTTTTGCAACATCGACAAGTGAATTCATTATGTCCTACATAGTGTAAGTATTTCCATACTAAAAAGCTATATTATATGTATAATAATACAAACATTATACAGTGTTTTTTTTTCTTTTTTTGAATTGACTCGGCCGTTACTTGATGGAAATCCATGATAAATGTAAAAACTTCACAAATGATAAGATTTCCACAAAATTTATTAAACACACGACATGTTTCGCTAACACAGTAGCTTCGTCAGGTGATATACTGGTACAATGAACTGGTATATATACTGGTACAATGAACTAGTTCATTGTACCAGTATATCACCTGACGAAGCTACTGTGTTAGCGAAACATGTCGTGTGTTTAATGAATTATGTGGAAATCTTATCGTTTGTGAAGTTTTTACAATTATACAGTGTGTCCCACTTACCATGCTCACCATGGGTATCTTTTTAACGGTGAGAGATACGAGGTCGGTTAAATGACACCAAATGTGAAGTTTGTCAAAGTCAACTATATTGTGAAAAAATATTTTGATAAAATCTATTCGTTTTTGTTTTATACGCAAAAAACAGATTTCGATAATTTTCATGTCTCCTTCGTAACTTCTTCATTTATGGAAATATTCAAATAGAAATTTCACATTCTCATGGCAGTTTTTCAAGTTGATTTCGAAAAAAATATGCCAACTCTTCTAGAATTTGAGATATCAGCACCAACTTTAGTTTTTCAAATGTAGGTCATAGCTCACTATGACTTAGTTACAAATAACTTTGTTTTCTCTTTCAGATGATATGTCGCAGTAATAGTTTTGTGTTGATAACAACGAAGTTATCGTCATTTATACAAAAACAAAAAATTATTTGGAAGCCACCATCTTGAATTCATGAATTTCAACAAAAGAATCATGATCTCCGACCTCGAAAACCCCCACTTACCAATTTAGAATGGAATCGGACCAAATCTTGTCCGCCATCTTGGAGCAGCCATTTTTTTTAATTTCAACAAAAATTCCATGACTCCGATCAACTTGAAATTTGGCAGATGTTCATAATTCCGGTGACAATACATTATGGAATTTTTGTTGAAATTAGAAAAAATGGCTGCTCCAAGATGGCGGACAAGATTTGGTCCGATTCCATTCAAAATTGGTGAGTGGGGGTTTTTGAGGTCGGAGATCATGATTCTTTTGTTAAAATTCATAAATTCAAGATGGTGGCTTTCAAATAATTTTTTGTTCTTGTATAAATGACGATAACTCCGTTGTTATCATCACAAAACTATTACTGCGACATATCATCTGAGAGAGAAAAAAAAGGTATTTGTAACTAAGTCATAGTGAGCTATGACCTACATTTGAAAAACAAAAGTTGGTGCTGATATCTCAAATTCTAGAAGAGTTGGTATAAATTTCATATATTTTTCGAAATCAGTCAGGAAAACTGCCATGAGAATGTGAAATTCCTATTTGAATATTTCCATAAATAAAGAAGTTACGGAGGAGACTTGAAAATAATCAAAATCTGTTTTTTGTGTATAAAACAAAAACGAATAGATTTTATCAAAATATTTCTCCACATTATAGTTGGCCTTGACAAACTCCACATTTGGTGTCATTTAACCGACCTCGTATCTCTCACCGTTAAAAAGATACCCATGGTGAGCATGGTAAGTGAGACACACTGTATATATATATATAGTATTTTTTTCAAAAAATTCTTTGTATTTCAGATTTGAGTTATCTATCCTCACCTGAAAGGAATTTGAAGATTACAATAGCTTCATGATGAAGTAGAAGGAGAGAATATTGATTTCGAAAGTGAGTCAGAGTCCGGTGCGGAAATAGTGACCACAATACCGATACTGACAAAACCGACACTGAAGAATAATTGGAGCAAGAATTAGGAACATAATTGGAGGAGATATTGAGGAAAGAACCTATAACTTTCGTTACCATTATCATGCAAAAGATAGGGTATGTTGGCGAGAAAATGCACCTTCGAAAAATTTTCGAACTAGAATGTTTTAATTCCATACGTACTATGAACGAAAAGGAATGCTCGTCAAGTTGTTGATCCTCTAGAGCTTTGAAAATGTTTTATTGATGACAATATTTCCGTTACCATCGTACAGAACACAAACATATCTATTTTGAAAGTGAGAAACAATTGGGCAGATCCAAACGAAGCCAGACCTACAAATACCCTTCAGGGCGTCGCCAGCGGGAAAGTTGGAGGAGGGGCACTATAAAAAAACTAAACAGAAGAATCAAATAGGAAAATATTGATGAAAGATTTGAAAAACGGAAAAAATCTACGGTTCTTTGCGAAATCTTTGGTCACTTTGATGACGAAATCGATCAAGTTTGTGAAGATATGTTGTCTGTGTTCACTCAAAATTGCGAGGCCATTCAGTCGAGGTCCACACATGGTGCTCCCCAATCAAGTTTTGATTCTTTACAAGTCTCACGAAGTAAAGCAACAAGAATCTCCAAAGCCTTCTTAATTTCAGGAGCAAAATATGCTTTCGGTAGTTCTTTGCTCGGAGTTAGCGGTATAATAAGTGATATCACGATATTCTGAATATTCGAGATAATTCTCTTGCTTCATTGTTCACAAAATTGTGTTGTTGAGCAACATCATGAATCCGTCAGGACGAATTATATTGCTGTACGGCAACACAATTGATTCAACAAGGAAATGAAGAATTTATAAAAAGATATTCAGAACAGAGTGGTATTTTGTTAGACTTTTTCACGTTCACGAAGAAAAGAAAGCGTTTATTGTGAATGAGTGATTCATTCTGACAAGTACAGCCATCAACATTTTTTGCCAAACTGACAGACTTTGCTTCGCTTTCCATGGTTACATCGTTGAAAACATCAATGCTGATGGACCAATCAGAATTGAAAGACAGCTAAAGTTTTTGTGATAAGCACATGTTGTCTCTGGCTTGTGATTGTTCAGATGATGTGATGAATGAAATAGTCCTTCCAATTATATCTGGGTGACTGGTGAACGTTAAACGTAGCAGGGGATGCAGCTGCCGAACCTGCCCCTCTCTGGCGACGTCCTTGTACTGTGAAAATAAGGGCATTATTTGGTATATCATACCTAGCTGGCGAAGATGCAAGTTCAATTAAATTCGCGGATCTTACTCGACATTAGACGAAATGCTTTTTGCATTCCGTGGATGTTGCGGATTCCGCATGTATATACCGAACAAACCCGCCAAATATGGTTTACAAGTATTCTTCTTGGTGGATGCTAGATGTTTCAACACAGTTGAATCGGGAGATTATGTTGAAACTCAGCCTCCAGGACCATATTGCCTTAATAATAAAACCACCAATTCAGTTGATAGAATGTGTGAGCCTGTGTTTGGAACGTGTGAAAATTCAACCATGGTTAATTGTTTACAAGTAACAAAATTGTAGAACGCATGCTGATGCATCACGAAATTACAATTGTTGAAACAATTCGCAAAAACAAAAGGAAGATTCTCAAAGAACTCCTTGATCCCAGCAGGTCACAGAACTCGTCTATGATCGCATTTTACAAATTTATCGGCCTCATACATACAAAAAAAAAGTTGTGACGGTGTTATCATCTTTTTACTATGATGACTCGATTGTCGAAGATTTTGGAGATACCTGTGAGCTCAATATAATTAGATCTTATACCAATACAAAATCAGGAGTTGACTCAGTCGATCAGAAGTCAGAGAGATCAGCATATAACGCGAGCAGGAAAACCTGCAGATGGCCGATGGTAATTGTTTACAATTTGCTCAACATTGCAGGCATAAAATCCCACGTTTAACATTAATGAAATGCAAGTGGAGACGACATAATTTTCCAGCGAAAATTGTTCCTGGAAGCAATGGGCTTAGCCTTGGCAAGAGAGAACATGCTGATAACAGCAAGAGATCATTATTTTCAAGAAGATATCAGAAATATCGCACGAAATTTAAGTGAATTACATACAGATCCAGCGCCTCCTCGTTCAAAAACACGAGGTCGTTGCGCCTACTGGCCAAATCGTGAAACACGGCATTTTCGTGTCAAATGCCAAAAATGGCTATACTTAGCGCATGTTGATCAGATTCGCGAAGAATGCCATAAAAGTGTGAATGAGGATGAAGGTGCATTTCTTCTGAATGTGAGATGAATATATTCCTGTTTTTTTTTCTTTTAGTTTTTTTTTAAAATGATTTTCATGTGAGTATTGAGTCCAAGATAATTGAGATGTATTGAATATGAAGTGAAGAAAGATTGTTCATGTATCAAAAAGTTTCATTTGATTTCTCATAAAGTATTCTTTGAAATAAAACCTAGGCCTCAATTGCTCATGTATTGATTCGATATATTAGGAATGAATTCATTGCATTTCATCAATATATTCATGTCAGCATTCGTGATTATTGACATAAAGTCCTTTCCGATTCGTGAATGAATTGCTTGTGAAAATATGTTGCATAATAGCGGTGAGCTCACCAATAGAAAGGAAGGAGTTTGTGCAAAGGGTTTTACCGTTCGT